GTGTGCAAGTGTGGCGAAAGCTGAAAGAAAACATGGAGAGATGGGATGGGGCTCCTACTAGAAGCTTGTAGGAGCGGGTGGAGCAGTTATGGAGAAGTCAGGGGGGGAAGCATGGATCAGAAGAGGAAGATGAAGGGAAAGTTAAGGAGAAAGAGCAGTTTTTTTTCTGCTCCAGCAGGAACTGAAGCTGGAAGGGGAGGATATGTGAATTGGAATCCCGAATGGCTTAAAAAACCTAGCAGAACTAAGAACAGATATAGCTAAAGCCTTAGAACAAGCTGATGCTGCTTCCAGAGAATCCAAAATTACATTAAACCAGGGGATCAAGTTACGGTGAAAAAAGGAAAACCAGGAGGAGCCCTGGGACCACGATGGAAGGGACCACACCCAGTCCTTGATGTAATTTCACCCCATCTAGTGTACCTGGACACAAACAGATGGTGGTACCGTTCCCAAGTTAAGCCTGTGTAACCTGTGTAAATAGGCTAGGTTACTTTTGTCTTCCACTCCCTCTTTTGTCCCCCCCCTCTTTTTTTCCTTTTCTTTTTGTCCTCCCCACCTCCTTTTGATTTTATCCACAGGATCCCGGCATGAAGATCTACATCCAAGTATTCTTGCTGGGACAATGCCTAGAAGCTCTGCAGCACAGTTCTAGCAACAGCTTTTTTGTAGAACTGGCACAAACAGCTATGAACAGCTCAGCTTTTTGCCTACAGCAACTTTTGGCAGTGGGAGGGGTCACATCCACCTGTTTCTCTGGAATACCCTCCAGCCTAGAGACGTTAAGAGATGTTACTGCCTTAAGGAATTTCACTGACCTTGGGAATCATAAACACCCACTGCCCTCCAATTCTCCTGTTTTTACTCATGAAAAGGTCTGCAATATCTCCTATGCCTCCACCCCTTTATTTTTATCTAAAGGTTTCTTTTTGTTATGTGGGCATGAGGCCCATACTCATCTCCCAGCCTACAGTTCAGGGGGGCCTCGTGCCATTGGGCGCTTGACCTCTCTATATGCCCTGCCTCCCATGCACGTACTATCTACTGTTAAGGGCAGGACAGGGC